TCCATACTGGTAGTAGTAAATGCCCCCCAGACTGGTGATGCCTGTGTAGCCCCCTGTGGAATTGTAAGACACAGAGCTGCAGGCCAGGATCAGCAAGTTCAGCAGAACCTCCAGCATCTGGCAGCAGGCTGCAAAGAGAGGGTGAGTTACCACTTCACAAGGTGCTGTTTTGCACGTGCAGACTAGTCCATCTTGAGGTTACTCTTCCCCATGCAAGCAAACCACTGGCTCTTTATTCTGACCATCTCGGCAGGGAAAGCTGCGCAGTTAGCATCAGGTGGCAACAGGGGACTGTGGTCTCCAGAAATGGTGTCAGAAATACTTTGGAGTTAAAAGGATAGCTCACAAAAGAGCAAATCCGCCTACCCAGGAGAGGTCAGAAAGAGGATGGGAGACATCAGGCCAGTTAGAAAGAAAGGCAACCTCCAGAGAAGGGCAGGAACAGTCCATACCCTCCCAGTGCACAGAAGACTAAAAACCATTCTCTTTATATGTCTGATAGCTCTTTGAATTTATAAGAGGAGATTTCTTCAAGTTTGAAGAAAATCACAGAACTTAAGAATATGAAGTAATAAAAGCAAGGAAGTAATACATTAAAATGTTGACCATGTGGCCAGAGGTGTAGTTCAGTGCAAGTGCCTGCTTAGCATGCATGAGACCCTTGTTTGTTCTCCAGCACCAAAAAGAAAAAAAGAAAAAAAAAAAGTTGATTGTAGTCTGAGTACCAGAAATAGGAAAGATTAAGTTCCTTAAACCCATAATGCTTATTGCATTAAAGAAACATACTTATTTCTCTGTTGTCAACTTTAACTCAATAAATATGTCTTAAAGTTTAACTTTATTTTCTTTAGTTTCCCTTAAGATCCTATCTGGGCTGGAATATTTTCCCAGAATTGAATTCTTTCAGTGGCCTTGGCTTCCTTATCTTGGACAAGAAAAGCTGTTTGCTTTCCTTTAAATCAGCTTTTTACACAACAAAACATCCCATATCTAGCATGAGGCTTGATTAGTTTTGGCAGCTGTCATGTAACTGTGTTAAAGATACAGAGCATTTGGATTTCCCTAGTAACCATTTATTGTCAACCCTCCACCTTCTTCCCCGGGCAACCTCTGATCAGCTTGCATTAGAAATGAGTTTCCTCCTGTAATCCCAGTCTCTTTTTATGCTGGGCTTCTTTTGTCCGGCATAATGGGAAGCTGCTGCTTCCGAGCTGGACAGTGTATCTGCTGGAATGCTGCCACCAGGCCAGGCAGCTCGGATCCACCCACCAGCCTCCCTGACCTTCCCAGTTACCACATGTTCTGCCCTCCTCCTGCTGGTGTGTGTCCTGTGGTACCTCTCTGCACTCTCCAGCTAAAGTGATGCTCCCATAAATACCACCTTTACACACTGTCACTCTCCCCCAAGGCAAACAATGTCACTGTTCTAAAATTTATACTTATTTAAAAAAAAAAAAAAGGACAAAAGAAACCTACTATGTGAAAATTGTTTATAATACAACCAATAAAAAGTACCCACTGTGAACATTATTTTTTCTGGACTTTTCTACCATACATTTATAGTTTTTATTGTTTGCTTGCTTTTAGGTAGGAACAGGGCCTTAGTCTACCAACTATTACATAAGTGATTTTTTTCCCCACTTAAGATACAGTGAGAATATTTTTCTTTTTTTTTGAGAATATTTTTCTATGTCAGTAAATATAAATCTGCTTCATAACTTTAAAAATGTAGAGATTGCCACAATGAATTAAAATCATTCCAATGTGAGGGACATTTAAGGTTTCCCAATATATTGCTATATGGCAGACTTTTTTTTGTTTTCAATATGGGAGATTGAACCTAGCAAGAGTTACACTGAGCTACACCCCTAGCCCTTTAAAATTTTTTTATTTTAAAACACTAAGTTGCCCAGGCTGGCCTCAAACTTGGGTTCCTCCTGTCACAGCCTCCTGAATAGCTGGGATTACACATACACACCATCATTCCTAGAGAGAATTTCTTAATGGAATATTGAAAGAACTACAGCCATGCCAAGCCCTTTGTTAGTCTGTTAGGTTTAGCAGAGCCATAGGAGAATCAGCAGGGCCATGGAGGTGGCCAATGGTATCCTTAACAATGGAGACCCACAGGCTCCCCGATGAGCCTTCCCAGGCCTTGAAGGGATGTGCTTCCTAGTCAGCCAGCCCCTCTCTCCTAAGACTCAGCAGCTCAGGTCACCCCTTGTCTGCCTCTGGCTCAGTTAACACTCACAGTCAGCTGCAGTTTGAGAGCCTGACAGTCGCAGCCAGGCAGTCACTGTCTCTGCCCATTTGGCTGAAGGGTCAGGCCCCTCCCTTTCAGACCCCGCCACTCTGAAACATGAATTTAGAAAACCGTCACGGCCTGTATCTTATGCCTTTGAGAAGCGTGAGACCAGCTCTGCTGGCTATAGAAGTTACAACTGTCTTGGAATAAAATTAAAACTTTTTTTTTTTGTAGCGTGGAAAATTGAATTCAGGGTCTCCACACTGAGCTACATCCCTAGCTGTTTATTTTTTAAATTTTAAGATAAGGTGTTATTAAATTGCCCAGGCTGGGCCTGAATTTGTGATCCTCCTGCCTCAGCCTCCCAGAGTGCTGGGATTATAGGCCTGCAACACCACACCTGGCTTAAAAATTAACTTTTAATGATGCTTTGTAGTCAAGGCTAGCAGAATGCAAACTGCCATGATTTAAACACTAAAATCTAAGGCAAGAGGGAAAGAATGCTTCAAATGCTAACAGGGGAGCCAGGAAAGGCACCTTCTTACTAGGGACCTTGTAACTCCCCACTTGTGCCTCCACATAATAAAAGAACACAACCTATGTGTACAAAGGATTCCCTGGTAGCTGATATGTGCATGTGACATTTGTACTTGCTCTCAATCTGATCTTTAGCCCCTGCCCCTCAAGATTGAGTATCTGAATTCTTGCCTGTAAAAGTGAATTTGGGGCCCTTCTCTTTCAGCTGGTCCCCTCAGTGCTTCCCTGAACTAACTTTTTTCTTTTGATACAGGGTATCACTATGTAGCCCAGGCTGCCCTTGAACTCATAGTGATCCTCCTGCTTCAGCCTCCCAATTGCTGGGACTACAGGCTTATGCCACCATTCCTGGCTCCCCTGAGCTTTCTAAGGGTGAATCACAGCCCAGACTTCAGTCTTCAGTGTCTCCCTAAGAAGCTAGAGAGGGCCACATCCACATCCTACTTTTACAAGGTTGCTCTGTGTGTGTGTGTGTGTGTGTGTGTGTGTGTGTGTGTGTTGATTTCATTGGCAAAGAAAAGAAGTAACAAGTGATCTACTCTAAGGTGGATCTAAAACGCTTTGGGTGACCTTTATCCAGGCATGCATTTCCTGCTTGAGACAAGGTCCTCATGTGCAGTGGCTGTTTCTCCTGACACAATACCATATTGTGTTCATACTTGCCTCTGCACATCCAGGGTTCTTTATAAGGTCAAATTTGTTAGCTTCTGAGAGCCAAGCCATCCTTTCACTACCTGGATTTAGAAACACAACCTTCAGGCTCAAAACCAAATAGTCAGAAGCAATCAAGGCTGGATTACAATCAGAAGCCCCAAGCCCTGCCCTCTTCTTTTTGTAAATCAGTCACAGAAGGAAAGAAAAAGTCTCTTTAGGGAGAAACCCTGTTAGCCAGCACTGACCCTGATATTTATACCATCTGGGAGAAGAAAGGTTAAGCAATGAAACCATTTGAGGCCTCAGGATGTTTTAATTCCCGCTCTTCACTTAATTTAAGAGTTCTGACATTGGATAACTCACAGTACCTCTTTGAGCCTCAGGAGTAGTTGAGAGAATTAAAGCAATGAGATTGTGCCAACACATGTAAACTAGGGGAATGATCCTTGTGCCTAGAGTACCTAGAGCCTTTTTTCATCTAAGTTTCTTATAATCCTATAATCATGTAAATCTTTGTAATCACCCTGAGATATATTTTCAGTTGTGAGTTGTATGATTTCTCTCCCTTAGGCTGGAGTGTTTTCTCCCTTAGTCATGTGCAGCTTAGAAAGATTTCTCACAAATCGCATGCGCCGTTAGAGCTCACCCTGACAAACCAGATTTTCTTCATTGCTGGCAAGGCCAGGGTCTGTGCTAAGACAGAATCCTGGGAAGTCACATTTGGAGCTTACACATAATATTGTTTAAGTGTTTTTCGGGCTGTGGGTACACAATAAATTGATTTTGTTTTGTTACGCCTTTTTTTTGGTACAGGGATCGAACTCAGGTCTTTGTGCTTGTGAGGCAGCTGGCAGAACCACTGAACTAAATCCCTGGCCCACCTTTTTATTTTTTGGTACTGGGGATCGAACTCAGACCCTTGTGCTTGCAAGGCAGGCAGCAGAACCACTGAGCCAAATCCCTGGCCCCCACCTTTTGTTCTTAATGAAACAGGAAATGGTGCACTTGGTACACACTAGGGTAAATATAGTTTCATGATATTTTTGTTTCTGTGTGTGGTGTCCAAACTTGGCCTTAATGTAAAATATATTTATTTCTTTCTGGCCATCTCAGTCAATGAAGTTTAAAAGCCACTGATCTAGTGTTTGGACATCAGATCTTCAAGGAGACCATCTGCTCCTGTCCATGTGGCTTGTGTGGCAAACTGATTTCCAACTAGGCAATTTTCCCTCTCTCCAAACTCAGCCTGCTTTGCCAGTGGAGACCCCTTGCCAACGACTGACAGCCCAATTCTACCCAGGTCTGACAGCAGCAAACACAGCTGCATGGCACTGCCGGCCGAAGACCATAGGAAATTCAGCAGTACCTTGCAGACCTTCCTTTTTGTTTTTAAGGTAAGAAACTCATATAAATATGAAAAGAAAATGCTAGGAATCCCCCAAAAGTTACTCTGCTTAATTTTGGTTCACCGACTCAGAACCTCCCATCCCCCCATTGTCTAGAACGACTCACATAGTTTTGACCATGGCAAATGGTCAAACTGACTCCATCAAGAAAGACTCACCTCTCCCAGTGCACAAGTATCTGCATTTGTGGCATTCCAGAAGTCCTTCAGCCTCTGACTGGTAATATTCCAATTCCTCCAGTCCAGGCCTGGGGTGCGAGGGCACATATCTCCCGGGAGTGGGTTCGCTATAACTGGAAAGCACATGTGGGCATTAAAAACGGGCTTCCAATTCAGTAGCTTAGTAGTACAATGGGTGATTCTGCGATTGGCTGAAACAGTACAGAATGTGCAGAACAGACACAAACGTTGACACAGGACTTTAGACTTCACAGAACTCTGGTTTAAGGCCTCACAGGACATCCAAGCGTGTGGTCCAACTCTGCTAAGTAACCCATGACAGATCCTGTAATTCCATGTACACGGGCACCACCACCTTTGATGCCACTCTGTTTGCCTGCTTGATGGGCTGACTAACCAAGTAGCTGTCTATCTAGGCAGCTGTGAACTACCTTCTATGGAAGCTTAAGTTCTCAGGTCAGCATGGACCAAGTCTCTTCAAAACCTGTTGTATTCAGAAGACCCTGACTCCCACCTGGATTGGCGTTCTTACTTGTCCCTTCTTACTGTGGAATTTCTATAAGCATGTGGAAATAGAGACAACCTTTGAGATCTTCTGATCATCTATCTCTTCCTCTGCTATTCTTGGTATTTTCAGTGTCCTCTCTCCCATCTTTATTTAGTATATTGTGGTCTTTGTCTGTGATTCAACGGAAGGCTGCATTCTATTTGCTGGGCTCCAGGGATCTTTCTACAATATATAGTGGTCATTATGTTCTCTTAGGTTTGAAAATCTTAAAACTCTCAACTCCTCAGAGGGGGCTCTTTCACATCTCTCTAGACTCAGATCCAGCTATTGTGAGCATGGGTTCTGCCATGCTTTTGGGTCACCGCAGAGCTAGTGCTCAGCCTGGAACGCCTTCATCACCCCTTTCCGGCCTTGCCTCCCAACACCTTCTCCAGAGCTCAGCTGGAGGTCTAGCAGCTCACTTGAGCCTGGTGAAGAGCCCAGCTCTGGTCTGCATCCTGACCATTAAATGAATGTTTAAGTGGAGAAGAGACAAAAATAATGTTTTGGTTTCAAACCTTCAACTCGTTGTGAGTAAAAGAAGCAAAAAACAAAAGTATTTCCTTCACCTACGGTAGGGTGGGATGGAGTGAGGTGGGGGAACTGGGTCTCTAGTTTATAAGAAAACCTACAAATGTAGTTCTTGACTTCCTAGTCATGCAGTTGCAGCGTGATGTGGCTTTAGCCAGGACAGCAGCAAGTGCCAGCGACATATCTGGCACACCCTTTGTCCTGCTCGTTGGTTTTAGATAATATAACATAAACTCAGGATAGTAGCTTTCCCGCTACATGGGAAACACAGGGCTCAACCTCCCAGGTTCCATAGGAAGGCCAGCTGTCAAAAAGCAGAAGACAGCCATGGCCCCAGGACCTGTCTCCTTGGTAGGGTGGGCAGGGGTGACGTCCCATCTAATCAGTCCATGGTGCCTGGCATATGATCTGCACATTCAGCAATATTTGCAGAACTGGGACCTAATGTTGGCCCCCCTAGGAGGGGTGTGGGGACCAGGCCACCCTGTCTCCCTTCTACACCCACACTCTCCTAGCTCACAAAGCCATCCAGAACATCTGGATGCTTTCTCTTCACAGGGTTTATGGGAATTCCGTGTTCTTCAAGGCAGAGACAGGAAGTTTGTTTATTCAAGGTGAGATCTCAAACAATCGAGGGATTTAAAAGAAACTGCCTAGAACTCTGGAAGACATTGGTATAGGAAAAGACTTTATGAACAAATCCTCAGTAGCACGGGAACTAGCAGAAAGAATCAACAACTGGGATCTCATCTTACTAAAAAGCTTCTGTACTTCAAAAGAAACCATTAGCAGAACTAAGAGACAATCTACAATGTGGGAAAAAATTTTTACCAGCTGTACCTCAGAGGACTATTATCAAGGATATATAAAGACCTCAAAACAATCAGTCCCCCCAAATATAAAGACCCGATCCAAAAATGGGCATCCGAAATGAACAGACATTTCTCATACAAAGAAGTGAAAGCAGCAAGAAAATATATGAAAAAATGTTCCACATCACTGGTCATTCGAGAGATGCAGATGAAAACAACACTGAGATTCCACCTCACCCCACAAAGAATGGCTGCTATCAAGAAATCACACAATAACAAATGTTGGCGGGGTTGTGGGGAGAAAGGAACCCTCCTCCATTGTTGGTGGGAGTGCAGACTAGTGCAACCACTATGGAAATCAATATGGAGATACCTCAAAGAGCTTGGACTGGAGGTTCCATTTGACCCAGCCATCCCTCTGTTGGGTATCTTTCCAAGAGAACTAAAAGAATCATATCACAGAGAAGTATGTGCACCCATGTTTATAGCGGCACAGTTTGTAATAGCTAAATCTTGGAAACAACCTATTTGCCCATCCGTTGGAAACTGGATAAAGAAGTTGTGGTTTTTCTATAAAATGGAATATTACTCAGCCATAAAGAGCGAGAAAATAGATTCATTCATAGGAAAATGGATACATATTGAAGATATACTCCTAAATGAAATAAATAAGGCACACATGTGTAAATACCAAATAGTTTCTCTGGTGTGAATAATCTGCAATAATACAGAAGATCCTAATAAGATTACTGACATTGAGAAATGGGAAGAAAGGAGCTAAAGGTGTAGGGAAGGTGGGATGGGTAGGGGAAGGGTAAAAAGGGAAAAAGAAAAAATGTGAGATAATGAAAAGATGGAAATAAAGTGGTTGTAGATGGGGAGGGGAGGAGGGGGTGAAGGGAGGGCAGGGACAAGGGGAAAAACTGAGAACAAAGACTTGTCAGGTAGAGGTACAAGATCCCAACAATGAATGTAACTGTACTGTATCCCCAAAATGTACCAATAAACTCAATTAAAGCTGAAAAAAAAATTAAAGCAATCCAGAATAATTGTGTAACAACAGTGGAATCAAACTATTGATAAAAGTAGAAAATGAACAGAAGTATCTTCAAACACATAAACAGCACATTTCTAGATAATTCATGTACCAGAGAAGGTTTCTTGAGGGTATTAAAAATATACATGCAGCTGAAAGAGAAAAAACTCTACATAATAAATTTGTGTGATGACACTAATAGTACTGAGAGAAAAGCTCCTGGTACTAAATGCTTACATTAGGAAAGAGGCAAGATTTCATGTGAACCACCTAAGCTCTCTTCCCAAGAAACTGGAAAAATCAGAGCAAATTAAATTAAGTAAATAGAAGGAAGGCTATAATAAAAACAATAATTTCTCTGGTATGAAGAGCTATAATAGTACATATGATCCTTATGAGATAATTGACTATGTGAAATAGGAAGAAAAGGTCTAAAGGTATAGGGAAAATGGGAAGGGTAGGGGAAAGGTAATAAGGGAAAAGAATAAAATATGAAAAAATGGAAATAAAGTGTTTGTAAATGGGGAGGGGAGGAGAGGGTGAAGGGAGGGCATGGACAAGGGGAAAAAAATGAGAACCAAGACCTGTCATGTAAAGGTACAAGATCCCAATAATGAATGTAAGTGTACTGTACACCTTAAATGTACCAATAAACTCAAATAAAAAAAAAAAAAAAAAGAAACTGCCTAGAAAGACCTCAGCCACAAAGGGGAGACAGATCTAAGCCTTCAGTGGGAGAAGGGTTGGTAGGCTTAGTTTATCAGGTCAGCGTGTAGCTTCTCCCAGCTGTTTTTGAAATGCATACAGGCCTGGGAGGGGTAACACGGTACTCTATTTTTCGGGGCTGATTTTGGAACACAGGACAAGGGTCTGCCGCCCTAAGGGACAGTCATGTGACCATGTGGGGGGAGAGTCAGGGAGGAGCCTCAGGCTAGCTCCACCCACCTCATCTACTCTTTTCCCACAAGTTGGGGAACCCGTTAGGTTTTCGTTTTCTTTCCCTCCTGGGTCGCCCTCAAGAGCACACAATGGAGAAATGGCATTTCTTCCTTTAAAGCAGCTTGCTAGGACAAGTAGCAGGGGACCAAGGCAGCGCCCTTACCTCCCTCACCCAGAGCTCTTGGACCCCGGACCCCACCTCAACCCTCATCCCCTCACCCTCTCACCTCTCGGGTCCGTGGCGCGCGAACCCCTCCTTCCTCGGGGGCGGCGGCCGCTCCGGGGTTTCCCAGGGTGCGGGCCAGGGGGGCGGGGCCGTGTCCCAGGTTGGTCCCCGGGGTTCCTCCAGCCCCCGGCTTTGGCGAGACTTTTCCCAGACTCTTGCTTCACGCGTACGACGGCCCGCGTCCCGGTGTCGGTCCTGGGGGGGGTCTCGGTCCCTCTTCCTGTCCCGGTCCCCTCGCCGGTCCCCGTTCCTCTCCCTGCGCCGGTCCCCGGCTCTGTCCCGCGGTCGCTCGGGGTGGCGGTCTCGGTCCAGGCGAGGGTGCCGCTCTGGGTCTCGCTCTCTCGGCCGGACCCGGGGCTCACGAGCCCCCAACATCTCTTCCATGGCTCTGTTCTGT